CAATAGAAACATTCGCCATTAAAAATGTTAGTTCAATAACTAGCTATATTATTATTGTACTCTGCACATTAGCATTTAATTTAGCGAACACATTATCCCGTGTTATCACAATATTAAACAGAGATTCTATGCCAGAAAATTATTGTTTATTAATACTGTTGTACAGAACACTTTCAATTTTAATGTTAAAATTTTCAATAAAAAATATTTATTGCTTTGTAATTACGTTTCATAAATTTCTAAATTAGTTACTCTATACGTAGCCAACTACCGAGTTAAATTGAATTATTTTTTATCTTAGTTTATTTTTGTTTAAAAATTTTTTTTAGAGCTTTTGCTTAATACCGTCCATACTCAAATATAATGAGCTAAAAGATTAAATACGATGTAATTGTTGTAAACTCTAACCTAAATTAAAAAACTAATAACATCATAACAACAAAATGACTTTTTCTATACAGATGGTTTGAGTGATTGTGAGAATAAGTTTATAATAAAGATAATTATTGACTTATAAAAAAATAAAAAATATGTAATAAATGAATGATGTACCAAAGCACTGAAATATAAATCAATTAATAATTTTTAGATTATTTAATTTTTTTATAGTCAATAACTTACAAATAAAAGTTGTTCAAATAAGTTACAAATTGTTCGATCAAATTTTGTTCACTTGCTGCTTATTTTACTTTATTCTATTGATAATTAATAAATAACAATAACCATGTGCGCAATTACTAATAATTAGTTGTATAATTTCTACATTATTTTCTGAATGAAAGTAGTTGAAAGAATTGAAAGGCTACTCTTTAGATTTATCAATCGCTAATTGCAGTAAAACTTTGATTTACTTCCGAAGATTGTGTTTTAGGCTTTTTGTTTGTGACATGAAAAAATTAAGTTATAATTACTGCATATAAATCGAAATATTTTACTGTATGACTTAATTAACTATTATCATTGTTTATTATTGAATATTAAATACTAATTATTGATTCGTAGTGGTTATTAAAATGATTGATTATGGAAGCAAATTCAAAAAGGCAAGAACTATTTTCATGTTATTCAACAATTAATAAGTTTTTTATTTTCTGATTTTAACCCATCTCACATAATTTTAACGCTTTTTTACCAAAAAAAAAACTTTTACTTATTCTCTGTTTTAAAACAAAAATTTGGAAAAATTTAAGATTAAAAAAATAAAAAGTTGTAACGTGGTCAAGGAATGTATTATATGGGGATGTCTAAACAATAAAATTCTAAAATTACACCATTTAGTTTGAAAAAATTTCACAGCTACTGAGCACAAAAAATGTTTTTTCTGGCGTATCGATATAAGCATGTGCAAAAATTTTTTAATGGAAATAATGACGGGTTAATGTCAAAAATATTCTTAGTTATTATTCGTCAGTTATCAATTGTAAAGATAATTAATATTATTCACAATACAATTATCAATTGATTTAACTTAAATATTAAATTATCCTTGAGTGTCTTCAACTTTTGTGTTCTGTATTTTTAATTCCATGAGTTAATTTAATTCTATGAGCTCGTCATAGTAAAAGTTGTAGAGACTCAACTGTCTTTTTCGACTCACCGTTGAGCGAAAAAAATACATAATTATAAAATAAAGAATATTTTAATTTTGTTTTAAATAACAAAACTAACATTGGCACAAAAATTCTGAATTAAAATAAAATAGTTAAAAAAATAAAAATTAATTTTAGTTGTAAGTTGGTTTCATTTTAATTCTTGATAATTTGTTTACTAATTAATAATGTTTGGTATTGCGTTAAGTCAAATAATATTGTTGACATATTATTTGTTTCATAAATAATACTTGTATGCAGTTATAGTTTTCTAAAGTAAATAAATAAATTAACTCAATGATACAAAAACTGGATAGACATCGGGCAGTGTATCACTAACGGCAGAGTTAATCCACAAATAATTTATAATTATTTTACTCAACAAACTCTTAGTTTTGTTAAATATAATTAATTAATCAAGTACATCTAAGTAGAGCATAGTGAGGCAATGATCTTAAGATTCACAGAAGTTAATTATTATCATTATTAATATCAATTGGTCAACTAATCTAAGTTAAAAACTTTCGTAAATTTGTTACGCATTTTCGACAGTATTTTTAAAAATACAACTAGATAACTATTACTTCTATTTTTCTAATAACTTGAACAAAAACTTGTGCGTGTAGGCCACGCGCGACAGAAGTGAAATTTTTTCCTCATTATAGTTGTCATGTAATATAAGCGTTACAGAATCAGTCAATTAGTCCATGATTGTTACTATGGCAACATTTACTGTGGTAATAATTATAATAGCAACGATTATCATGAAAACAGTTGCCATAGTAGTGACAATCATAATTTTTCGTAACGCTCGAAAATTTCACATCCGTCAGCAAAGAAATTTCATTAAAAAAAAAAACAAAACATTACTACTTTCAACTATTATTTATAAAAATTTCGATTCTTTTAATTTCAACTTGAGGTCACAGCCTTGAAGTGATGCAATACGTTGATAAAATACATCAGTTATTATAAGCAAATTATGCATAGAATACCTTGTTTATTAATAATTATTATGCTACGATACTTGGTAGTGTAAGTGACTTATTAAAATTTGATATTTATAGAAAACAATATGTAGTTAAGCCAAGTAATTTTTTTGGTAATCAATGATTCCATCAATTCGTTCCCTTCTTATGTAAGCTTTGTAATTTTATTTTTATCAAAATCAAGATTATAAGTAAAAAATATTCTTCAAAAACTCTTATAACGTAATAGAAAGGTCAAATATTATTAAATAATGATTGAGAGATTTTTTTATTTTTTCGTATCGACAGCAACCGGAAAAATAACTCGGATTTTAATAACTTTGGTCAAAACAATTTAAGCGAAAATGTGCCGCAACTTTACTTATGATTTTATTTTATTAAGCAATCAAAGAAAAAATAAATCAATAACAAAAAACTATTAATCAAAATAACACTAAATTGTCTAAATAATTTGATGATACAATTTTACACTTTTTCTTTTTCTGATGAAACTTTTATTTTGAAAAACTTTTTAGCAAAAAGGTTCTCTTGGGAGAAAAACAGACAGAGATAATTTTTTAATTTCCTGTAAAGAAAATTGAAAATTTTCGAAAAAAGGGAAGTTATTGATTTTGGTCCGAATTTTCAATAGTCGAATTTTCATCAGATCTCCACGTTTTGAGGTCCTAGAAAGCGATTCCGATCATTCTAAGTAAAATGTCACTATCTCCGTATGTATGCATGTGTGTGTATGTATGTAACTCTCTCATAACTTTTGAACGGCTTGACCGATTTAATCGCGGTTGGCACCATTTGAAAGGGCTTGACCGAATTTAGATTTTTAATCCAATTTGGACCGATTCAGACCGGTAGATTCTAAGATATGTTAAATAAAATTTTTTCAAATGTGCACATTTGAACCATGGTTTTTTTGGAATAACTTTTAAACGGCTTTACCGATCAAACATCTCAAACCCTTCAGTACCCACGTTATTCGATTCACCTTCTTTACTCTCGCCATGAGAAAAAATCTCACATTTAATTAACATACGATCTAAACAAATATTTTAGCCGAGCGCTTACCCAAAAGAGCCGATCTTCGCCGTAGGGAGCCGAACAGCTCGATTTTTAAGCACTTTTAATACTCTCGCCATAAGAAAAAAATCTTATGTCTTTCAAAAATTATTTTTTTTTTTTCGTTATTTCTAAACAAATTTAATACGTTTTTATTGGATAAATTTTAAGAATATACAGTTATAGAAAGATAAGAAAATTTTCAAGTGGCCTTTCCATTTGAAGTTAAATAAATAATTGAGATTGAAACCGAGCATGAGTAAAAATCTCATAGCATGGGTACTGAAGGGTTAAAGATTACCGATGTCAGCAATTAAGTTTACCTCTTTGTTTTTAAAGCAATAGATATTTTGATTGATTTTTCAAAACATAAAATTTTATAGAGCTTTACCTAAAAAGAGAACGAATTACAATAAGTTCGAACTATGCACTTCTATTTTTTAATGAATGTAATCCAGTATTATAATATTAATTATCAATATATTAACTATGAATTTTAAAATTTATTTAATTGTTTATTTTAGTAGTAGTGAAAGTTTATTTTAAAAGTTAAAATATTGAAATTTTTAATTCCTAATTCTTTACAATCCGATTACTAGAAAACTTTTTAGTTAATTCTATGTCTGCTTGATACAATGCAAACGATTATTCATTAGATTGTTACCTAGTTAATTAATTAATTATATCTAATTATTATGTAAATTGCTATACATATTGAACAAACGATATGTTAATATAATTTTCACGCGAATTTTATATTAATGGCTATTATTGTTACGAGTTATAATTCATTTTTTATCGTGATGAAATTTAAAAAATTTTAATTCTAATTTATCAATTGCTAAACAATAGTTTGATAAAGTTCTAATGGTGCTATATGTTTTTACTGTTTTCGATTAACGTTGAAAGAATATGATTTAAAATTTTTCATTATGAAATATTCATAAAATATTTCATTTAAAACGATTAAAAGAACACTATTTCACAATAGTTTTTACAATTTTAAAACAATTTATAATCTTTTCACTGTAAAAACATATATTTGAAAATATAATTAAGAAAACATGAAAAAGGTTAATTTTTAATTAATAACTAATTAAGTGCGAGTTCCTACGATTAATGCTTTACTAACGCCAAACTCTGCCGTGTCGTGACACGCCGAACGTGCGATCTAGTTTGCATTATGAGCTAAATACTGATACTGATAATATTTATGAGGCCTTTCATTATTAATATCAATATCATCACCTGTATAGTTAAATGCCGGTAGATTATTACCGTTGTTGTCAGAAGTATTGTTATTGTTATTATTGTTGCTGTTGTTAGTATTATTTCCGCTGAAATTATCACTGTTGTCATTATTAATTAGTCAGATATCAACTTCGAACATGTCTTGCTCAATTGGTTTCTTCACCCAATTGCCCAACTGTGCTCGCACAAATGCTTCCTTTAATTGACGTTTTGCGTGCTAAATAAACCGAACAAAAAAAAAACAACATTAAAATGATATACGTGCAAGGTTTGAAGTTGTTAAGAAAATTGTTTAAAAAATACAGAAGAGTTGCTAAATTTTTTTTCTAGATTTAATAAATTAAGAATATACGATAATTATATAATAAACTTTGTCTAATAATTTGTTTTTTTTTTTTTTTTTTTTTTAATTCAAAAAAGATAATTTTTTTCTATTTAACCAAAAGCTTTAAAAATTCAATAGGTAGTGGACGATTCATGACGCTCATTTAATTTTTCATAGAAAATAAATTATAATACTGATTTATAAAGTTACTTAGAGAAAAATAAAATTTATTATTTTCGACAATTTACGAAATTTTTATTTCTAATACTGGAGGGTATTTTCTTTACAGAACTGAGCATGTCGTGTAACTGTTCTGGATTTTATGTGCAGGCGTGTTGTGATAAAAATTAACCAATTTATCTAGATTTATTTCATACCTCATAATTAACCGAATATATCAAATTCTAGAGAAAAACTAAGAGCGCTCTCAATTCATTTATGAATTTTAGGTGAATAGAAAAAATGTAAGTTTTGAGAAAAAAATTCCTTTCCTAAACGAATAAAATTTCAAATAACGTTCTGAACAAAAAGGTCTAGAAAACTGGAAATGTATCCGTTTGCTTTAAAGTTTTTAACCACTTATTCGTATAATATAAAGACGAACTAATTGACTAACTAGTGAGGAATTGGTAAAATTGTTTTTTGAAGTCAAAGATTCTATTTTTCGAAGCCGAAAACATGTTTAGACTTCGAATTCAGAAAAAAGTTATTAATAAATTAAAAAAAATTTCTAGCGCGAACGAAAAAATAAGGTGTGGGGAAAGGATAGCAATTCTTTATGAGAACTATCTTAGCAACAATTTGGAAAAAGCTTGGTAGAAGTCTGGATCAAGATTCTCGATCAAATATTTATACGCAGATTTCAAACTCTAACCCAAGATTCTTTTGGAACATTTTTGCTAGAGAATCGTTAAAGAATTGCTGCAGAAACTTGACCAAGATTTTTGGAGGACTTGAACGAGAATATTCTTTATTCCTCAGTATCAAAAAAAGAAGAAATAAGCAGATTTGATCAGGTACTATTCAAGAAGGCTCGAAAATATTGTCTAATTTTGTTGCTAGTATAGGCATAGAATTTTGGTAAACTGTTTTGATCAAGAGTTGTCTAATTATGTATTAAAATTGTGTTCAAGTATCTTGTTTAAATTCAATGCTACTGGAGGATAAAGTACTTTTTCATGCCACGCTTTCGCATTATGAGTCATGTAATAACAATATCCTTATAAACTTAATAAATATGAAACATTAAATTATCAATTACCGAATAATCTTGAACTGTAGATTTAGCATCAAGGTATTGATGGCATATATCACGATCTATATCATCAATTGTACTTATCTTTCCCAATAAATTAAAAAACATACGAAATAGACCCTGTTTTGAGATTCTTGATGGTTTCCCCAATTCATCTTTTCCCGTTGTGCAATTGATTACTTCAGCTTCAGTTTGTCCTATAGAATAAAACAAATTAAATTGGAAGGTAATAAATAAATATCAGTAAGTATTAATTATTTAATTTTAAATTCAACTTACGTTATAATTTATGAACTAATAATAATAATAATAATACTAATAGATATATGTAATAAGTAATAAGTAAAAATGAATAATAAATACTGACCTGTTGTCCAATTGACACTGTAATTAGGCGCCTTACCCGGCTGTCTAACTTCGGAAGACGTAATTAAACTCATAAGTGGTTTATTTAATCGATACGGTGGCGGCAATCCTTGAATTGTATTTTCAATTCTGCCGCACACCGCGCGATACATATGACTAGGATTTAATAGGCTGCCGAGAACGATGCTGTGGAAGTAAATAGGCTCGATGAAGTGGCTGAGTAATGCACCTTGCACACCTAGTACGTTCCATCGAGCTATTTTATCCGAACACGACATCGTCAGCAGTCTTTGTCCCTAATAAAAACAAAAATTTTTAGAAATAAAAAAAAAAACATAAAACCCTACAACACAATTGTTGAGGGCGCTGAAAAATGAAATATCTGTCTGTAAATTTATTACAAATTATGATAGAAATAATAACTGATCATTTATCTGTATGATTGCATAGTTTTTTTTTTTTTTTTTTTTTTTTATTCATTTTTATCGACTGAAAATAGTTTAAACATTTTTACGCAGCAAAATTCTCGTGAAATGATCATTTGACAATAAAACACTCTCCAGCGTTCACGCTAGTAGTGTGCAAAACCAAATTAACATGTTGTATAATTAAATAATGGTAAAGAATTTGATTATTGAATAATTTTAAAAAAAAGTTTCAATTCAGATTTTATAAGAGGAAAGATGTTGAAGATTGTAAAAAAAAAAAAAAAAAATTAGATACCTCATTTTTCAGCGACCTTATATCTACAGTGGAATCTTGATAATTTGAATTTTTGTAAGAAATCTATATCATTCATAGTTGTATTTCTTTTTTTCGTTAAATTTAAACTATTTACAATTTAATAATAAGCCCATAAAGTTCTTAAATAATACTTCTAATAATCAAGTTTCCACTGAGTACATTATTAATTACTGTAATAAATATAAAAATTTACCATAAGTACACCGTCCCATGTTTGAATTCCTTCGCTACTTTTAACAGGAATAGTACCTTCACCGGATTCTATTTTTGTTCTCAATTGCCCGCGAGCACGTCTATTAGGATGTTTGTCAACAGACTCATTTTCTTCGTGTGGCGAAAATATTCTAGCATCCCCACAGGGTGCTGTATTTATATATAAATGGAATTGTATACCCTGTTTTAGTTTAAATCCTTTTTTATTTTTTTCTTCCAATATAGATTCTTCACCACGATTTTCTGTATGAAGTTTCAATTGTTGATATAAGTATTCACACAAACAACGGCGTGCCACTACTTCAGCGTGACAGTCATTCAATGCTCCACCTGTTACACTTAAATGTTCTCCAGATATACATTTTGTACCTTGAAGAATTAACACTTGTTAAAATTGGTCTATTACTATTTTTATGTTGTAATATTCTCGCGTGCATGCATGTAATCTGACATTGACTATTAATGCTGGTAACCGATGTGACGTTCTGGCAAAAGATTTGAATTATGAATCGATAATTTATTTTAAATGTAATAAACGAATTTCTCGGAATTACATTCCAACGGAAATTTTAGACGATAAGAAGTCATCGCGGCCCGCGAAACGTTAATATACCCACGTCAGCATGGGATCCGGGCCTCGACGACGTTCCCGAAGTGTAACCTGAACCCAACAATGGCTGCCACAGATCATTTTGTATAATTAAATAATTAACTAAGTCAGTCGACCGGGAGAGCTCTTCGAGCTCGGACCTTGTCCACCGGCTTCTATCTAATTTTGTTCGTATCATTAAATTTTTATATTATAATGTTAATCTTGACTAATTATTTCTAATAGGGGCGAGCGCTTCTTAGCGTTCTACCCTATTTCCTAATATTTCTATAGGGGCGAACGCTTATTAGCTGTTCCACCCTGCTCCTATCAGTAAAAAAAATTAAAAATAATCATATTAATAAAAATCATGGTAAGAGAGATCATCTGTGCGGCCCACCTGGGGTCTATCGACTCCCTAACGAGACTAACCTGGGATTTTTAAAATTATTGAAAGTCGTTATCTGGAAGACCCAAAATTCCAGAACGTTACAGTATATAGTCCCATATATAATTATATATGCTTATATATAATTAACATACATAAAACTTTTTTCTTTGAAAAAAAATTTTTTTTTGGTAATCACAAAAAGTGTAAAATGATGTTTATAATTACATTTAAATGATTCTGAAATACAAAATTTGTCTCATTTCCTATGAGATGTTTTGTCTGCTCTGCTACTACCTAATAAAGTCATTATTTATTTTATTATTTTAATAAGTGTTATATTATAATGAAATTCGGTAA